GATCCCCACGAGCTCATTCTCCTCCATGCCTCAGCAGCGGCGGGTCCTGAACTGCGGGGAGCAGACGGCTGCCCCTCTCTCCTCGAAAAGAGAGACAAATGAGAGCAGAGCTTTTTCATCAAAAAACGCTCACAGTTAACGCAGATTGCCCCCTCGAGGTCATGGCAGGTATGCTCTTCGCCCAAACAAAAGATGCAAAGATCATGTGTGTCATCAGGTGTCAAATAACGACGACACGGATGCACACATCTACTGGCCCCTGGATCACACGATGTTTGGGAAATAGCATCATCCTCCAGCGGCTCACTCTCGTCCACAGCCAATGAGTGCGAGAGGGAAAACCCCTCTTTAAACTCATCGGCCAGATCCGCCTGCGATCAACATACTGTAGATTAATGACATTATTGTCTAGTTTTCCAGTTAAAAATATCTAAATAACCTTAAACAAGATAATTTACTAAACCAAGACTGCATAATATTTCACTTTAAATTTAATTTTTACTGTAGTATAATTGAGTTTATGGTTCTTACCTCCATTTTTCTTGCGTTAAAACTGTTATAATTATGAAATTATCTTCTAATATTTAAGAACAAAAATAACAATTTGTCATTTGGTGTGAGAAAAAAAACGAGAAAATATCTAAAATATATATATATCCATATATAATTTAATAATAATTGCTTCTACTGTAAATGTATTGTTTAAAACTGTTTAGATATTTTTAAAATGAAATAAACACAAAAACATGATTTCCATCTTGTTTTCAGTAAAATCTAAACACCCCTAAAACAATGTAAATTAGCTTAAAAGCGAAATCATTGTGTGTGTGTGTGTATTATTAATTATAACAACAACAACAACAATAATAATAACAATACCTTTGAAAGTATGGTGAGGCCCCCTAGTGGGCCCCAGCCTCTTGAATAAAAACCATTGAGGTAAATCTTGTAGGATTTTTATATTTTTTTTAACTGGAAAATAAGACTGAAAATTATATTTTGCAGTTTGTATATGTAATATATCATATGTATACAGTGGGTACGGAAAGTATTCAGACCCCCTTAAATTTTTCACTCTTTGTTATATTGCAGCCATTTGCTAAAATCATTTAAGTTAATTTTTTTTCCTCATTAATGTACACACAGCACCCCATATTGACAGAAAAACACAGAATTGTTGACATTTTTGCAGATCTGCACTTCAGATAAAACAAAATACATCTATATCATGTACTTCTTCATGTAGGCTTGACATGATCTGGTTCCTAAGGGTGTGTGTGTGTGTGTGTGTGTGTGTCATTGTGCTTATCTGCATGCATCAGTGTCAGACAGACAGGCTCTCCTTCTTGAGACCAAGGAGAAGCAATTTTCTTGCATGTTGCGTCGCAAATCAAAGATCTTCATAGTAATTGAATATGCGCTGATCCCGATCGTGCAGCTCACTGTAGGGGACTGGGAAGTGGGGGTCTCCTCGGCGTGTGTTTGTATGAGATCAGACTCTGAGCTGGCTCACACTGAACCGATCATGCTGCTCTCCATTTGGGCTGAGAGATGGAGGAGATTTAACCTCCAAACAATGAGATTAAACCAAAGCTTTTCAACTCATCCAGAGAGATGCCTCATGCATTTTTTTTTATAACTGTTCACAGGAGAAGAATGTTGTTGGATTATTCATGGGAAAACTACATCTCAGCTTTATCAAAAATATGAAAGACAGTTCTAGGCTTCCTTAGTGTGGCGCCTGCTGTTTGAAAAGTGGCTATTCTTCAGTAAACAGGCAAAATATAGGGGCCACAATGAGATATAAAAATAAAAACTTGTCTTGTAACCAACTACGTTGTGATATTATGATTGGGAATGAGCATCTCATTTTTCCTCTTCATAAACTTGTGACTTGGGACAGGGGCGTAGCCATCATTTCAGAAGTGAGGGGGACAGAAATGTTATATATGTAAAAAAAAAATTTAGGTTTGAAATCACTATAAATTACATTTTAAAATATATTCAAATAGAAAACAGTTATTTGAAATAGCCTAGTAAAAATATTTCAAAATTGTACTGTTTTGCTGTACTTTGGATCAAATAAATGCAGGCTTGGTGAACAGAAGAGACTTCTTTAAAAAACATTAAAAATCTTACTGTTCAAAAAATTTTGACTGGTAGTGTATAGTCAACTTTAATTTTTCTCTCATTTCTAGCTTTTAATTGGCTTAGAAATCAGATAACTGCTGGACAATAACCAATAATAATGATTTACTTATATACTACAAACACTTTTTGTATCACATAATAAGGCAGAATAGTTTCAATACTGTAATAAATGCTATGTCAGCTAGCACTGCATTGTTCATATACTTTATTTAATACCTGGAGATGACTTGACAAACACAAATAAACCATATTGTCGCAATCGTATGTTTAATGTCTTCATGTTTCCTTCATGTTTTCTGAAAACAACTGTTTTCATACAGGGATAGCTGGACGCTTTTGTCCATATTAGGAATTTCCTCATATGACTTTCTGCATGACAGCGCCCTCCGGCTTTGAGTATGAATGAAACGTACACTGCACGGAATGTTTAGCGCTCCGCGATGTTCATCTCGCCTTAATCTGGGTCCGAATAAAACATCAGATCATGCACAGACTATCCTGTCTCTTTGAATTTAAATCTATATTTATTCACACCGGCTCTTGAAAACCTCTATGCGAACACACTTGCCCGAAAAAGTGCGGGGGACGAATTTACGTGATATTAAAAATGGGGGGGACACGTCCCCCGCGTCCCCCGCGTAAACTACGCCCCTGACTTGGGACATTCAGACAGATATATTAAAAAATGCATATCCCTCCCTCAAGACCTCAAGTCCTCCTTTTGTGTGATGTAACACCAAGATCAGTCAACCAGTGCTTATTGCTGGTTCACGAGGGAACAAAATTTGGAACAGTTACAGTATATTGTCATTGGCAACCAGTGAGAACTGAAGGTTTTGTGCAGAAAGTTCCCTTAAGAACACCACGACTAGCTCTTGTTCTTCTCCGACACGCTGTCTGTCTTGCTGTGTGGGTCAACATCAAGATCATGCTGGTCTTTTATCAGTCATGATGGTAGATCTATAAAGCTTGGGTATTTGTTTCTGTCTGTCAAGGTTATCTTTGAGTAGGTTTCAAGAGCTTTAGCTGTGCTTGAGCTGAAGATAATGAGCTTGGAATAGTGTAGGTGTAAGTTTTCCAGACAGTCAGATTTTTCATCAGAACAATTTGGTTCCTGTTACATACACTTGTCCTCTCATCTTCTCTTTACATGTAAAATGCAATGTGCACATGTACAGCTGTGCTTTATATACTGTAGATAAATTACACTAATTCTACTGGATACAAGTTTACATACCCTTGGTTCTTAATATGGTGTGCTGCCTCCTCAAGAATCATAGAGTGTTTACAGCTTTTAGTGACAGTAGTGGTGTGTTAGTCCCTCAACTGTGCAGATTGCCAAAGGTGGACCTCGACATCACTGAGCCACTGTGGGGAAGACCTCAAATTTGTAGGGCATGCTGGGAAAACAGAGACATTACAAGAGCTGGAGGATTCACAGGCGCCTACAGACTAACACAACATATTAAGAACCAAGGGCATTTAACAGTCATGTTTTGCTGCTGTTCTGTACATTATGATGATGATGATGATTAAATATTATATTATATTATTAAATATTATAGCAATAGTATAATTTCTTTATTGATTTGTTTAATTTGTATAATTAAAATAATAAAATAAAAATCTTATTGTGAATAATAATAATAATAATAATAATAGTAATAATAATCAATTTAGATGTTGTTCTATAAAATGTATTGTTATTATTATTATTATTATTATTAAATACCGTGTTTTTGTTTTACAGTACAATAGTAGTATTGCAATAGTAATATTTCAGAATTGATTTTGTAATTGTATATTTAAACAATACAATAAAAAATATTTTTTTTTATCAAAATTACAGTAATAATGTCTTTGCTTTCAAACAGTAAACCATGTTTTTTTTTTTTGTGGAAACCACAGGAAAACATTTATAAGTGATCCAGCAATTTGCCAATGGGAAAGGGAAAAAATATAATACAAAAATTAAAATAATTTGCAAGGTGTGTAATGATGAGGTGTGCAAACATTCAAGCATATCTGTACCTGTACGTGTAACATGTTGTAATGCTTGTATGTCTGACGTGTCGTGCTGAAACACTAAATGGGCGTTTACCTCAGAAGTGGGCCCTCTTTGTGAGTGAGTGATCCATTCAGGCGGGCCACTTACAGCCAGTCTAGAGATGAAAGCTTGTCACTCGCACCTCTCAACAATGACAGGTCACAATTAGTGTGCAGCCTCCCGTGAAACCACAAAGGAGCCCATATAAATGACGCACGCACATATCCACGCACAAAACCTCCATAAGTCCAACTCACACAATCAAAACAAACATATGTGTACATGTCACCTAATATACAAGCCTCCTCCCCTCATTTTTATCTCTCTCAGTGAGCTGAGGAGCATGTTAATCCCGGCATGATTTATTTGAATATGGATCTTCTATACCACAGCACAGAGGCCTGAGAGCAATTACTCCTGAACAAAAACCTTCCCTGAGCTGTCACACATCATCCCTCCAAGCGCAACAACAAGCGGCCAGAACAATTTATCTGCCTTCTGCATCAGAGACACTGACACTGCAGACATTTCGGTGTATGAAAAGTGTGCTTTTCACATATCACTTAATTTGAACACTACACACTTTATTGTTTGACACCCGATAGAGATTGCATTACAGATATTGTGAAAATAATGAAACCTTTTCATTTGATCACCTAGTTTATGAAACCAATAGCTATTTTGAAGCGCCAGCAGTCAGTGGTTTGACGGGCACAGTCACATATGTCACGGAGACAAAACCAATTTGATAACGTAAAATCTCAGCCGCAAGTCATGAGGTTAATTTGATGTAACCGATTTAAAGTGCCAGTGCTGAGATGATGGATGCTGAAGCTCTGACAGAGACGTAGAGTGCAGAATTAAGCATGCTATCCATCTTGCAAGGGATGACAGTGTCGTCATGACCCCCTACAGAGATCCTTGACACAGAACTGCCCTTCAGAGCAATAGGGATATTCCACAAAGAGTTTCCAGTGGTAAATAGAAGTTACAGTAGGTGGGAAGCTTCAGATGGAATGGAACACCTGTAGAGCTGAACTAAAAATACTTCCTGTTTGTTGCTGCCGTGTGTTTTGAGTTTGAGCTCCGTCAAGTTAATTCTTTATCGTCTATTTTTTTAATCTTAAAATCAATTTTATACACCATCATTTTCGTTTCTATAACGTGTGAATATATCCCCTATCGTATTTATTAACAAAAACAATCAGAGC